ATGTGGGATCCGAACCGGGGCCCTCTGGCATCCCAAGCCAGTTCTTAACCATCGTGCTACTCGGCCGGCCCGGCTCCTGGTCTTTTGTATTCCAGGTCTGCGATCTACTCCTTCCTAAATGTGGGGAGAGGAGGAAGGTATGACTTACCATACCTAGGAGGAGTTAGAACCATTAATTGCCCAACATGCCTAGGTCAGCAAGGCGAAGAAGGTTCTGGAAGTCTAAGCTCCAGACCCTTCGCAGTTTCCAGGTTGATCTGTGTTCAGGAGGGAGCTGCTATTTTAAGGGTGGGGTAGAGGGGCTCCATGTTTCTGAGTCAGGAGTACCAGAAGAGCACTAGCCCTTGAGATTCCCAGATCACAGTAACCAAAGATCCGTGGCTTCCTTTTTGCTTGGTAGGTGTGTCCACTCAGACCACAGCTGAGCTCAGCTTAACATGGAGTCCACAGGGTTCCAGAATGAAAGGCTCCAAAAACCAGTTGAAGATGAGTGCACAGCTATAGGGTATATATGCATTTTTCCAGCAGAGAGGTCCCATTGCTTTCATTACCTCTCAGGGGAGTCTGTGATCCAAAAAAGGCTTAAAAACCACCATCCTAGATTCTTAGATTGTTTGTTGAGCAGATAAATGGAGGTGGAAAATGGGGTGTTTTGTTAAAGGGTATCCACGTTAAGCTAACATGGCTCAATGTGTTATCTTCTTCACCCCAGACAGTGCTATTGTGTAAATCAGCTGAGATGACAAGTGTGTGAAAATGCCTTGGTTATGTAAGGTTGTTATTCCTCTCTAAAGAAATGGAAATAATTATCATGAATTCTGCAGATGGTAACAAAAAAACAGAATTTTTTTCTAAACTCTCCTTTTCCCCCCAAATTCCTTTCCACCAGAACCTTCTCTTGGTCCTTTTGGTTGCATCACCTTTCCTTATCTCAGTGTTTCGGTGACTTGTTAGAATTTTCTATCTTATGCCTTATTGGACATTTATTACATTTGAATAACAGTTATGTTAAATGGTGACCCTTTCAAGAAGGATGTACCTTAGCTTATTTGTTCCTCACCACAGTTTAGGGAGCTAGGTAGAGAGGTGGGGCGGGCGTTGGGAGCAGGGCATGGAGAAGTAATTGGCTTGCTTAAAGTTACTTGATGTCACTCTGCACAATGGGAATATCAGTATCAGAGTAGAAGTGTTCAGACATGCAATTCCAGCACTCTTTTCCTACCTGAGCAGGTGTGGAGAGGCAGTTTGAGGCCATGTTTTGGTCTCCAGGTTGTGTTTGAGGCTGAGTTACTTCTAGAAAGAGCCTGTGGTTAGTTAGATCTGGAGCATGTGATGTTTGCCAGTTTAGCAAAGAGACAGCTCTTTTTTTTTTTTTAAGCTGAGCCATCCTGCCACCTGTTGGCAGCTCAGCGGCTGCTCAGCTCGGGCCGGGAATCGAACCGCTGTTGCTCAGAGNATGAAAATTGCTTTTATTGTTTTCTCTCCTTGCCCTTTCCCCTAGAGAACAGGCCTAGTGCTTTTCATTTCCTCTTGCATCAGATTTCAGTTTGTACTTCATTATGATAGAAATCAGTTGTGGGAGGAAATGCTCTTAACGAAAGTGCACACATATTGGCTTCTTATGATCTGCATTTCATTCTAAGTGCTTTAATGTATTTATCCATTAATCTGCTCAGTCACCTTGTGAGGTGGGAACTGTTTTCATCCCCCTTTACAGATGAGGAAACTGAGTCTTGCAGAGGCTAACTTGCCCAGGGATACACAGATGGTAAGTGGACCTGGCAAGATCTGCCGTTAGGGAATCGGGCTCTGAAGCCTTCACTTGCACCCACTATGTCATCCTCACAGTCAGTATTGGCTGGTTTCAAGTCACCACAACATTTATTTACTTTTTTATTTTTCTGGAAAAGTAACAGATATTCAGCAATGTTCAGAGATTTGTCAGACTCTAAATAGGACCTAGGAAGAATTATGCCCTCCACTGGTAAACGTTCTCTTTAGAATATGGATTACTTAAGGTCTCTTTGTCCCCAACTTTGAGCCCCAGGTACCTATTACAGGCAACAGGAAAAGTCCGTTCAATTTTATGCCAACATCTCTCCACTCTCAGCTTGCCTGAAATCAAGTTAACCATTTCCTTTGTCACCCCCTCTTTCCTCACTAATTCACACAGAAACTAATGTACAATTGGATCCATCTTCCGAGATCTGGCGTCCTTGACCTACAAGTCTTGGAGTGTCATTGCCTCTTCTATTGGTTGGCTTCTCGTATCCAACAAGTCCCTTCTGCCCAGGCCCTCCTCCTGAGACAGTGGCCTTTCCATCTCATCAGAATATCCACCTAGAACACCGGGCTTCCAGAAAGAAAGACATGGCACAGTCAAGCTAGGTAACTGCAGAGTGCAATAAAGAGACCAATTACAAAGGTGCAGGGGGGTTTAGGGACATCTACGAAGGATGGGGCAAAGCCCCAGGCCTGTAACAGTGGGGAGTCACTGCTAACCCTAGGCCTGAGGGGCCAGGGAAGGAAGTAGTTACTGGACTCGAGAGAGAGCTGTGTGGAAGGGGCCTTTGACAGCAGCTGTGGCCTTAAGGAGAGGAGCATCAACTACTGAGGCCCCACAGGGAAGGAACTGGGGGACTAGAAACCCTGATTTCACTTCTCTCCTTTCCTCCTCCACACCCTCCAGTGTCTCCCAAGGGAGCGGGACTGCCATCCATACAGGTCAGCTTCCTGGGTGCAGACCAGGGTGGGGACAGTCGGGAGTGAACCTGGAGGGGTAAAGAGAGGATATAAAGGTACATAGTACATTCTACCTTTGCCTCATCATTCTTCTACTGAGGGACTCGCAATGATTTCCCATTCCATGTTGGTTTAAATTCAGCCTTCTCCCTTTAAAATCCACAAAGAACAAGCACTGCACTCACGTACTCCTATACTGGTATCCTTACTCTGTGTGTTTATTTTATATATTGTATATGTTATGTACATTTAAACATCTTAGTTGTGTATTTATGTTACTTTGATATCCTAGCCAAGGGGATTGTTGTGCTTCTGCGGATGGCATGAGTGTCACCCAGGCCTCTCTGGGGCAGTCTGGCAGCCTATATTGGGAATGGCAATTGCCTGGTTGGTATTGAGATAGCAAATGGACCCCCTTGCTGCTGAGAACACATGCTAAGAAGGCTCTGGTACAGTGGTAA